GTTCATTACATCATTATTCATAATACCCAAGTAACAAAAAAAGTCTACTGATAGATGAATGGAGACAAAACATTATAAACACATGCAATCATGCACCAATAATACCATGATATTTGGGTCAATGAAACACATTTACAACAGAAGTTCCATAAGATGATAATGGAGCTGAAAAATTTCCTACCTCTGTCACCAAAACAGACTTGTCTAGGCCTGCCTCAAGGGGCTAAAACTCAAAGTGTTCTCATCATTTGTCAAGAGGTTAAAACTCAAATGTTCTCACCAATAGATAAATAAATAAATTAATGTATATGCATACATAATTGATTATAATGATCATTTCAAATGTATATATACATATATCAAAATATCAAGTTGTATGTCTTGAGTATGTATACTTTGTCAATTATACCTCAATAAAATAATAAAAAGAAAGAAAAATATAGCATTCCTATTTCCCAAGTTCAGTGTGAGAGAAGCAGTCTACCTTTATAAAGCCCTAATTGGCAAATTCAGATAGCCTAAACACATAGACCCATTTCACTCCATAGGGCCTTCAGTGCTTTTTTGCTATCTCATTCCAGCACCTGAAAACTCAACACTTTTTGTTTCAGCTGGCTTTAATCTCTCTCTTCTATTGCAAAGTTCTTGACTCCTATTGCAAATCTTGAAGAAATCCTTCCTTGCCTGTTGAACTTCATCCAGTGCAATTTTTGATAAAATTCTTAGTAAATATTTGTATACTTTTTACAAATTTACAGAATTAGAATATATGGTTCATATGCTCCTTTGCCAAATGACTATAATTATATAAAGTTCTTGAACCTTCAATTTGCTTTGAGAAGGAAGGAATCTGATTTTCTTCATCTGTATATGAAAAAGGGAAAGAAGTAAAGGAGACGGTGTGTGATCCTGATTTAAGAACCTAATTACAGCAGAGTTTCTCAAGCAGTGTGAAACAAGGTGTTCCTGTGAAAATAGCAAAGAAAAGGCTCTGGAGAAGGGTTAGCAGGTAATGGAGAAGGCTGGCAAAAATTCCTGCTGCGCTTGACCAGATTCAATGCACCTTTGAGAAGGAGTCAGCTGGTTCCTGATGGAGAGGATTAGTTTAGAAAGAAACATTAGGAAAACCTTAGGAAAAGGTTTGTGTGCTTGTGTGTGTGTGTGTGTGTGTGTGTGATTTGTGCATGCACGCACATTCATAGTACTTTCAAAGAAATTTTGTATACTTTTTTCCATTGTTTTAGAAACAGGGAGTAAAACAATTTTGAATACTTTTTTTTTAATCTACAAAGCTTGTTTGTGGTGGACAAGAGCAGAGTTATATCTGAGTCAAGAGAAGCAAAAGAGAAAAAATCAAGAAGAACCTGAGTGTGATTAGACATCTATGGAGGTGAAGACCTGATTCCAGTTAGGGAAATGACAGTCTTTTTAGACCACTGAAATAATAGAGAAACTCTCTAGACATTGTGGAGGAGGATGCATGTGTTCCTGATAGTCAATTCCTTTTTGTAAAGCAAAAAGCAAAACTGCCCCCCAACACCATCACTGGATCAAGGAAAAAATTACCCTGAAACCCTATGTCACTAAGCAGATCATGATCTTATTCTGAGAGTTTGTCATCAGAACAAATCCTTGATTATTTCATTTCCTTCTTTATCCAATCAGAAACAGGAACTTCTTAGACTATCCATAATATCTTCACTACGATCCTCATAGTGTTAGTAAAAGATGCACATTTTAAAAAATTTGATTCAATAGCCATACCTACACATCATGCAAACCCGTATTTGGAAGCTGTAGACTTGTTCTTAAGTTTTCCCCACCTGTTTCTCTTCTCCAAATGTTTGGTTTTACTTTTTATCAGACCAGGAAGGACTACCTCGCCCATGTTACTTAAAGAGATCCTCCCCACAAGGCACTTTCAACCAAGCCACATTGTAAATTTCAGTTGTTCTAATTGTAATTTTAATTTGTAAACTCTTTGGCAATTAATAAAGACAAGCATTCACAGGTGGTGTTTTAGTCATTGTTCTCCACTGGCAGTTGGAATTTTGAAAGAAAAAGAAATATATGGGAATAAAAACACTGGGCATGAAAATAAAAATTTTAAATATGTGCATTTCCAAATTATGACTCAATGTACCAGAAATCCATACTCAAGACACATATAGAATTCCAAATAGGCACAAGCAAAAATCATTCTCTCCAAGACACATTATAATGAAAATGTCTAACACACAGAAGAAGCTTAGAGTAACAGCCACAAGAAAAATACAGCAGGTCACATTCAGAGGTAAACCCATTTGGATTTCAACTGATTTCTCAACATAAACCCTAAAAGTTGGGAGGGCATGGAAAGATACATGCTAAGTCTTGGGGAAAAAAAAAAAAAAAACAGCTTCCAAACAGGATTAGTATAACCAGCAAAATTATCCTTCGTAATAAGCAGAAACCAAAATAATTTGTAACCATGTAGTCTGCACTGCCAAATGTCCTCGATGGAATATTTCATGCAGAGAAAATACATAAAAATGAAAGAGATGAATACAATAGAATATCCATTAAAGGATAACCAAGTATGAATTTAGCATTAGAAATAAATTGAAATGGCAGGAAATAAAAATCAATTGGCAGTTTGGATTAAAAAAACAATACAAAGCAACATGTTGCCTACAAGACACTTAGCAAAGTGTTGCTTAAAAGACACTTATCTTAGAGACAGAGACATGCATGAAAATGGGAAAACCAAGGAAGCAAGGGTAGCTCCTCTCATGTCAAAGTAGACTTCAAGTCAAAATTAATTAGAGGGGACAAAGAAGATCCCTTCATACTGACAAGGGGAAAATCCAGCAACAAGATATACTGATTATAAATATTTATGCTCCAAACAACTCTGCTTCTGCATACAGAAAGCAAACTTTTATCAATATAAAGAAGGAAATAGATCAAAATACAAAAAATACTGGGCGATTTAAACACAGCTCTCTAACCATTAGATATGTCATCCAGACATAAATAAAGATTATTTAGAACTAAAAATATTTCAAAAACAATGAATCAAATGGATCTTAAAGACATCAATAAAATATTTCATTCATTGACAAAGCAATTCACTTTTTAATCATTTTAGGAGATGGAGCAAATTTTAGGAAACACAATGACAGAGTACTCCTTGCATAGATAATAATGGATGAAATATAATAAAGGAATAATAATAAATTCCAGCACTACAGTTGAAGATTAAATGCTACACTTTTATAAGAGAAATGAATTGTAGAAAAGAAACCTTAGAAAGAAATCAGAATAGAGATATTACAAAAATCTATGTGACAGTGTGAAGACAAATTATAATTTTTTTAAAAAATATAGAAACCTATTGCTAAAAATTTAAGTTGTCTTCACACTGTCACATAGATTTTTGTTCACCTTTTTATATTTTTTAAAAAATTATAATATACCAAAAATACCATATAGCTAACTAATGTTACACCTCAAGGTCATAGAGAAAAAAATCCAAATATCAGTTGAAGACATGCAGAAATCAATAAATGTAACAAACCACATAATTAGAATTCAGGACAAGAATCACAGGATTACACTGATAGATGCAGAAGATGCATTTGCCAAAGGCCACTACCCATTCATTTTTATAACAAGAGAACCTAAGGACAGAAGGAACTTCCCTCAACATCTTACAGCCTGTATATGACAAACCAAAGGCCAACATCATTCTGAATGGAGAAAAACTGAAAACATTTCCTCTAAAACCAGGAATAAGGAAAACGTGTCCACTCTCCCCACTATGATTCAACATAGACCATTAACTGTATCCAAAGCAATTAGGCAAGAGAAAGAAATTACCAAATTAGCAGGATAGAAGATCAACACATATAAAACAGTCAATTTCCTTTACTCCAATAATGAATCTGCTGCAAAGGAAATTAGGAAAATTCTCCTATGTTCCATAACTTCAAAAAAAATTAGAAATGTAACCAAGGAGGTGACAGACCTCTACACTGAAGTCTACACAAGGATGACATAGTTTTTAACATAGTATACATTTCTGACCACAAAGGGCAAGAGCCGGAAGCTGGTGTCAGAGCAGCTCCTGGTGCCAGCCCAGTGGACATGTCAGAGAAACAAAGTGCCCAAGCCATCACCTTTGACAAGCCTGACCATTTCTTAGCTTTACAAGACTATTAATAGAATCCAAGGTAAGAGTAAATCCATGTGGGTGCACCTTGCCTTAATGGATAATTGTATCCATAAGATGAACTGACCCTCTAGTCCTGAAATCCTGAGTATTCCCTGTCCCATATCTTTAGCAACAGTCATGACAATTTTGAGGAGGATGCATGGCAGGTGCTGAGGCACCCAGCCACTGCTGCACTAGCCAACTCTTCCTTCCCTACACACAGTATCATTAAGATGATGCCCTAGAACACTGAGGTCTTCTATGCCTTCTTAGTCTTCCGTGCCTTCCATGCCACCCACCCTGCCCACACCTCAGGGAGGTATATTCCTCCTGACCACGGTCACCAGCTAAAGGTCATGTCTACAATGGCTCAATGGGAGAGACTCCATGCACACTGGATCAACAGAAGCCAGTCTGTACTAGGTGAAAGCAAGTGAATGTTCTACACTGGCTCAAGACAAGTGAGTCCCCATCTATTCTAAGGGCAAGGGAGTCTACACTGGAGAGGGAGGCACAGTGGTCCAGGCCTGGGAGACGATGGCTGGTGGGACCTGACCCACCCTGAGGACCCTCCTTTTCTTTGAATCAGAGCGCTTTTTAAAATTTTGCAACAAAAATTTTATTATACAATTTGTCCAAAAGCAATGTATCAAAAAACATGTCAGAGGAATGGGAGAAGGGAAAGGGGCAGGGCAGGGTGAAGTGTCCCAGGCAGAACAGTCTCTGGTGTATTCGGCAGGTGGGGGCAGAGGAATCGCAGGCTGTCCATCGCTCAGCTCTCCACTTCCTTGGAGCCACAAAAGGTCTACTGATCCGGCTCCGGCTCACTTCTCCTGTGAACCCTTGGAAACACTCTATTGCGGACACGTGGCATGCAATAGCACAGTCTTTGGACACAGTCAGCGATCCTCCTAGTCCAGCTCTTCCTGGGTTCTCGGGGTTGCTCTGACGATTCATCTTGGAAGGAACTGATGCCGACTGTCTCTACTAACCTGAGCAGGCGCTTCCAGCGGTTGGGCAAGTAGGACAACGAGTGAGACTGGGAGGCTTCGTCAGGGGGCGGGGCCTCAGCAGGCTGGAAGTCGAGAGGAAGAGCAGGCAGGCTGGCCCTTCTGATGCCCACCTGCCCTGGCTGTTTGGCTGCCTCAGGCAGCTGGTGCTTATGGGGCACGGGCAAGGCTTGAAGTGCAGGCTCACTCGTGCTCCTCCTTGGGAGCACAGGGCCACGGGAAAGACCCGCAGGACAAGAGGAAAGCCTAACCCTGCGAGGGACAGGCTTCCCTGGGAACATGCACTCTACCCCCTGGCTTTTCTGGTGCTGCAGAATCAAGTAGTTGGCCATCCTTGCATCAAACTTTCTCTTGGCCAGAGATACCCAGGTTTGGTATGGATCGAGACCATTGTCAACCAGGAGCGCCATTATTTGGGGGTCTGGGTGTTTGGGAAGAGCCTCACTATGCTGTTGGGGTACACGCTCCCCATCCTGCTTCAGCCATGGGTGCCGAGAGATTTGCTTGACTGTGGGCCGCTTGGGGGGCTTCACAGTCAGTATGCTGTGGATGAGCCTTTGGGCTCTGACAGGCACTGAGTCAGGGACATTGTACCTTGCGTGAGTGATCCGCATCAGCAGGTCCTCAGAGGAGATGGAGTCAAATGGGAGGCTCTGTGTCAACATAAAATACAAGATGACCCCCAGGCTCCAGACGTCCACCGGGGGTCCCTCATACTCTTGCCGCAAGACACTTTCAGGGGCAAGGTATGGTAGTGTGCCCCAGAACCGCCTAAGCTTCTCCCCAGCCCTGAACCACGTGGCGGCACCAAAGTCAATCAGCTTGACATTGCCTCTAGTATCCAGCATGATGTTCTCTGGCTTCAGGTCTCAGTGCACGATGCCCTTGTCATGGCAGTAGCCCACGGCACACACGATCTGCCTGAAAACCCTCCGGACCTCCTCCACCTGCATGCCACGTGTGATGTGCTCAAGCAGTCGTCCCCCACCTACGTGCTCCATCACCATGTAGACGGTGCTCTCGGTGCCAATCACGTGAAACAGCTGGACCACGTTGGGGTGCTCCAGACTCATCATTATCTTGGGTTCGTTGAAGGCCGGAATGTTCTCCACTTCCAGCGCCAGGGTTTTCACTGCCACCTGTGCCCCTGAGAGGCGATGGAGGGCTAGGCTCACCTGGCCATACCCACCACGCCCGATGACCTTCATGAACTCATAGTGCTCCATGAAGGCTGACATGCTGCGGGAGCCTGGCACCTGCAGTGCTGCTACACTACTCTCACTACTCTCTCTACTCAGGCTAAACATCCTAAGCAGGAACACCAATTAAGGATGCTAGCGTAAAAAAAAAAAAATAACAAGCCGAAACAATAAAGCAAAACCAAAAACCAAAAACAAAGCAAAATAACAAACCCAAATCAAAAAACCAAAAGCCAAAGACCACAGCACCACCAACCACCAACCACCAATCACCAAATACCAACCACCAACCACCAAATGCACTAACTATCTGGGAGTCCGTCCGACAGGTCACCACCAAGAGCTTCCTGTACTTGTGGACAAAAAACCAGCCCTGGCCACTTTCTTATATACCCACTGTTTGAAGCTTCCTCACAATGGCTCCTTGTGAGGTCAGAGCAAGAAAAGGACCAATCATGCCTGGCCTAAACCCTCAGTGGTCATCTCCCTTTGGGGCCTCCAGAACTGTTTCCATGTCACAACAAGAATACAAATGGACTCCAGACATTTTTTTTTCTTTGCTTCCATTGGTTATGGAGACTAATATTTACTTGTTTACAAATTAAAAGGACTTGTCATTTCAATTCTAAACATTTCTAATAATTCTGGGCTTCTGAAGTCCTTATCATATCATACTCAAGGTATTCAATTTCTTTTTCTTCCAAATCATTGGTGTCAAAATATAGTAGCACTTGGCTCCCATTGTGATACTGAAACAACATGATCTGTTTCCTAAGCACAGTCTTAACACCTATGGGGCTAAGAGGGAGGAAGGCTTCATCCTAATTGCCCCATACAGTCCTACCAGGGAATTCTCATTGGAAACTCTGGAATTCAAAAAAGAGTGGGTTGATATATTCAAAGTGAGAAAAAACAAAATGTGGACCCCAAGAATCCTAGAACCGGCAAAAGTGTCCTTCCCACAGAGAGAAGAAATGGAGGTCTTCCCAGATGAACGAGTCTCTTCCTGCTGCTGTAACAAAATACCTTGGAATGGGTAATTTATTGGTAGTATTTCACTTCTCCCAGTTCAAGGTCAGAACATATTGTGGCCATATCCTCACATGATGAAAGGGGAAGAAGTTTTGAACTCAATCCCTCAAGCACTTATTATTATTATTATTATTATTTTGGCTGAGGGGACATACTGGCGATTGATCCCAGGGTCTCAAACATATCAGTCAAATTCTCTAACACTGAGGTACATCCCCATCCACTTATTTATTTATATATTTATTTTGAGACAAAATTTTGCTAAGTTGCTCAGGCTGGGCTTGAATGTGTGATCATTCAGCCTCAGTAAACACAGTACCTAGGCTTACAGTCTGTTATACTTTGGACATAAGTCCCCCCACCCCCACACTCCTATATTCATGCAGAAATAGTGCTAAAATTATTGGAATGTGGAACCTGTAATCTAACTAGAGCGTCCAAGTTTCAGTTCAGGTTGTAACTGTAGGCAGGTGGGGTGCAGCTGGAGGAGCTAGGTCACTGTGGTCATGCCAGGAAAGCTCCTACTTTTCTGTGATCCCTTCCTGTCTCTCTGCTTCCTCACTGCAATGAGAGGAACAGCTTTCCTCCACTGGGCCTTTCCCTCATAGTGTACTGACTCACCTTGGACCCAGAGAATTGGAGTTGGCCATCTATAGACTGAGCCCTTGGGATCATGTGCCCATCCTCTAGTTTGTTTTTTATCAGAGGCTTTGGTTAGAATGAAATCTCACTGTTGAGAGTACATCTATTGTTAGTGTGGAAATATTTGAAGTATAGAAATATGAAGGTTTGATTTTAAAAAAAAAGCTAACAGAATCAGACATTTGTGTAGTGAGAAGTGGGGACGTTCCTCTGAATAAACTGATTGTGTGGGTCAGAAACCTTTGACCCACAAAGACTTTGTTAAGACTTTGTAATAGTGAGCTGGGAAAGCTTTAGATTATTGTAAGAAGAGTTGAACAGGGACGCTGGTGTTCAGATGACCAGAATACCAACAGAAATGCAGACCTGGCTCATGAGCTTTCAGAAGGAAAAAAGGACCCTATTAGAAGTTGGACTATAGACTACTTGTGTTATAATCTGGCAAAAAATTTGATTATTTATCTAATTTCTTTCTTCCTTAAAATCTCTACTCAAATGTTTTCTTCTTGAAAGCTCTACACAAGTGACCTTATTTAGTATTTCAGTAAACCCTATCCCATCCCATTATTCAATAATTTTCTACTTCATTCTACTTGTGCTGCTTCTTCCATGTATGTTGTCACATAAATGTAGTGGTAACATAGAAATATTGTCATGATATAATGTATCACTTTTAAGTTAGTTCTTGCTCTTCCTCTTCTACTAGAATATAAACAAATCTCTGTTGTACAGCCCTTATAGGCATCCAAGAAAAAAAAATTGTTGAATGAGTGAATGAATGAAAGTTTAAACAGGTGTTATACTCCAAGAAATAAAATAAAAAGTATACAGACATACAAATAAACGATTTGAAACCTAAGTTACAAAGTTTTAACTTAGCCATGTTTTGATCCCCCTTTTTCCATTCCAAGAAATAAGTGTTTGATTTTACACAGAATATGATTTTGTCATATGAAGGACATTACATTTTGAAAGGATGTTTATATAAAGAAACCAGAGATCTGATGCTTCATTCAAATTGATGGAGAAAAAAAGAATAGCTTTAAAAAATTTTACAAGAAAAATATCTTTTAAATAATCTCATAGAGTCCCTGAAAGTAAATGAACCAAATGCAAAGAGACAATATCCTGAGCAGAAAGCTATATATAATGGAAAGATGAGGTATGGCAGTGGCAGTGAACGAATTAGACTTTAAGTGTTAAATTGGGCTTAAGAAGTGAGACTTACAAAATATAAACTAAAACAAATGAGGCAAAATACACATCAAGTAATTGTATCTTTCTTTATAGTATTTTTTTAATGTTTGTATTTGTTCTTTATAGATATACGTGACAGTAGAGTACTTTGATATATTATACATACACAGAATATAAGTTATTCTAGTTTGGATCCCATTCTTGCAGTTGTACATGATGTGAAGTGACACTGGTCATGTATTTATGTATGAACATAAGTAAGTTATGTCAATTCATTGTACTGTCTTTCCTATTCCTATCCCCACTCATTTTCTTCCCTCCCATTTGTCTAATTCAATGAACTTCTATTCTTCCCCTACCCACCATCCCTTGTTGTGAGTTAGCATCCAAACATCAGAGAGAACATTTGGCCTTTGGATTTTTGGGATAGGCTTATTTCACTTAGCTTGATATCTGCAGTTCCATCCATTTACTAGCAAATGCTATAATTTCATTCTTCTTTATGGCTGAATATTATTTCATTATTTATATATACCACATTTTCTTTAGCCATTCATCTGTTGAAGGGTGCCTAGCTGGGCTCAGTAGCATGTTTATTGTTAGGTGAGCTCCATAAACATTGGTGTGGCTGCATCACTATGGTATGCTGATTTTAAGTCATCTTAATATGTACTGAGTAGTGGGATAACTGGGTCAAGTGGTGGTTCCATTCCAAGATTTCTCAGGAATCTCCATTTTGCTTTTTCTAATGTTACCCCAATTTGCAGTCCCAGCAGCAATGTATAAGTGAAACTTTTTTTTCCTCATCCTCTCCCACATTTATTGTTACTTATATTCTTCATCATTGCCATTCTGACTGGAGTGAGATGGAATCTCCATGTGGTTTTGATTTGCATATCCCTAATGGCTAGAGATGCTGAATATTTTTTTCATATATTTCTTCACCAATCATTTCTTCAGTGAAGTTCTTGTTCAGTTACTTTGCTCATTTATTCATTGGGTGATTTGTTTTCTTGGTGTTAAGTTTTTTTTTTTAAATTCTTTGCATATCCTGAAGATTAGTGTTCTATCTGAGGTGCAGGTTGCAAAGATTTTCTTTCATTCTGTAGGCTTTCTGTTCATGTTCTTGATTGTTTCCTTTGAGGTGAAGAAGCTTTTTAGTTTGATATTATCCCATTTATTTATTCTAGTATCATTTTTAAGTAAGAAAATTCCCAATTAAGAGACAAATATTAAATGTTGGATATAAGATTATTGGTTGGCATCCATTATCTTTTAGTGCTTGGTATATGTTGTTCCAGGATCTCTCCTGGCTTTGAGAGTCTGTGTTGAAAAATCTGCTGAGATCTGAAATTGGTCTTTCCTTATAGGTAATCTGATTTTTCTCTCCTGTGGCCTTTAAAATTGTATCCTCAATCTGTATGCTAGGTTTGTTCATTATAATGTGACTTGGTGTATATCTGTTGTAAATTTGTACCTTTGGTGTCCTATAGGCTCTTTTTTTATTATGCTGACATTTTTTTAAAATACCTTTATTTTATTTATTTTTATGTGGTGGTGAGGATCAAACCCAGGGCCTCACACATGCTAGATGAGCACTCTACCACTGAGTCACAACCCTGACCCCTTCTACAGGCCTCTTGTATTTGATTCTCCAATTCTTTCTTCATGCTTGGGAAATTTTCTCGTATTATTTCTTTGAAGAGATTGTGCATTCCCTTGATTTGAATCTCTGAACCTTCCTCTATCCCAATAAATCTTAAATTTGGTCTTTGGAT